CACAGCTATAATTTGGTCCCCAACGGACGCTTCACAATCATAAGCACATGGTTGAAAAGAGAATTCAGAGAGTTTTCTAATGGCGTGGGKGAGTACGGCGTACGATGAATATTGATTGMTATACATGTATGTATATCCAGCATTTCTAATGTATGACTGGGTAGGCCGGAAACGTGTGGCCCGYGCTATACGATACTTAATGTTTTCACTTGCTCCTTCACAAGCATCATGCATAAAAAGGATTCCTTCAAACTGAACTGCTTCAGGTAAGGTGACAGGTTTCACTTGGTGTCCTTCTCCTTTGTTTGAATCAGAGATGTAGACATTAGTATRTCTCATCACCTTGTTGTWATGCGTATGTTTCTTCTCCAGTTCAATTTGGTAGCACTGATCTTCTTGTAAATCTGGAGCAATAGGAAGAAGCAGCTGGTAGAAGAAGAACACATCTCCATTTTCAATCTGGTCTTTTGTGAGSCCATGCTGCTGAAGGTTGAAGATATCCAACTTCCCATTCCTCTCGTCTGGAATCATGTTATCCCTAGTAGCAAACTTCCTTGCAAACAGGTTGTTTGGATCTTCCACAGTACCATCCCACCCAAGGTAATGAAACTTCTAACCATTCTGCTCCCTGATAGGTTCCTTACCAAGACCAGCTAAGTTTTTAGGAATTTCTTCAGGCTTACACTCAGAAGGAAGGAAGTGACCTTTGTGTTTCCCTGTATGTGCTTCAATCTTGGGCCTGTAGTATTATGRGTGCCAACCACCAGGATTGTCAACATCATTCCAGTCTTCTAGTTCTCCTTTCTCAACCTTTGGATCCTTCCTTTCATAACCTACTGGAACCTTTGGAAAGTTGAGACTGCTGTCAACAACAGTTCCATTCTTCCAATAGAAGAACTCAGTATCATGAAACTCAATTGCGTCGTCCCTATTCCAAGCTGTTTGGCTCTGAGTGATTACGTTGAAGAACTCTGGTTGTGCTACCTCCTCGTGACTCATTCCAGAAGCTTCAGAATCAKWATTTGGGTCAGTATCATCAACAACCTCCTCACCACTTGAGCTTTCATCATCCTCAAACAAAGTTACCACATCTGATTCTAACTCAAATGCTGCTTCAAAGGCAGATGCTTGGGACTCCATGAAGGCTGGTTGTTGTGCTGTCCTTGAAGAATGTCAGATGGTTATGTTGTTGAGTGGCATTTATAGTTTTGCTGATGGTGTTGCTGATAGTGTTGCTGAATGTCCCTGATAGTGTTGCTGATAGTGGTCCTTGGCACCGCTGCTAGTGTTGCTGAGCATCRCTGATAGTGTTGGTGATGGTGTTGCTGATAGTGTTGCTGATAGTGCTGCTGAGCATTGCTGCTGCTGATGGGTGTCGTTGATTCATTGTTGATGTTGTTGTTGTTGACAGCATTGTSCTTGATAACAGGTGTTCATAGCTGGTTAGTGTTGCTGATACTGGAGATATACTGTTGCTTGGTGTTAGTGTTGCTTTCCGTTACTATGTATTATGGGTACACACRAAGTGTTCGACTAATAGCTACSAAGTACRAAGTAATAATCATACGATCACACGATTGAACGTACGGTACGGGGAAAAAYCTGAAAAAACCGGGCGGGAAATCACACTGAAATCTCGTGTTATTTACACGAAAGTGTGAAATCTGACTACGAGATTTGATAGTATTGCTGAGCATTGCTGCTGCTGACGGGTGTTGTTGATTCATTTTTGTTGTTGATAGCATCGACGCATTGTCCTTGATCACCAGTGTTTATCTGATTAGTGTTGCTGATTTGTTGAAATACTACTGTGGATAGGATTGTTGCTGGGGATATAGCGTTGCTTGATAGTGTTGCTTGATAGTGTTGCTTGATAGTGATGCTTGATAGTGATGCTGCTGTAGTGTCAGTGGAGGGGTGGCAAGTAGATGTCAATTGTTGGAATAAGAAGTGCTTCCACTGCGATAATGGTAGTTTTAGCACATGGTTGTGAGGACTCCTCTGTGTCAAACAATCGATAAAGAGTTGCCTTGCTGCTATCAGCATCAGCCATGAAGGTGCAGWATTGGTGCAACATTGGATGGTATTTTAGGTCAATATGTTCATYGAGAATTTATATCCTGCACATGATTGACTGACATCAAGCCAAAAATTCCAAAGAAAAATGGTGTAGTTAGACAAGATTTGTTGATGTCAGTAGGCGTGCTTGACATATTTTACTCGGGAAAATGTTAGCCCAAGATGTACAATTATATCCTACATTTGCTGGCCAACGCTATACAATAGTGGTAAATTGAGTGGGACCAATCAGTGTAATATACCTACCTATGTAATTCTATGTATTTTTTCTACCAGCAGGGGGCTCCATGAGCATTTTGAGATATTGGTTGCAAAAATTTGGTACCWGGCAAGTACACAAAGGAAAAAAATCTTAATATTATATTTAACCTAATGAACTAGTAGAAGAGGCACTATGGTTAGAACCACAACCTCTCCTCCRGACTAGGGAGAAGAATGCTCCTAGTTGCTCTGAGGGGCGGCACCTCCCTCCAAGGAGGTTTTGTGGAGGCACAACCAAGTTTTATGCACACTGACAGACTAATGAAGGCCTGAGACTGGATTCCGAGGACASAAAAGGAGTTGGTTCACTGTTTGGATGGATGAGTACCATGCCATTGTTGTTTTAGAGGGCACTGCCAAGCCATAAGGCAAGTCACACTGCAGTGATCAAGGAAACAAGTGCCAAGCACACTGCCAAGCCAATTAAGGCAAGTCACATCCCAGTGGGCAAGGACACATGTGGAGGAGTAGTCAAAAAGAAAAAAAAAGAAAATCAAAAAGAAAAAGAAAAGCCAAAAACTGACACACTTTTTTCAAATCACAGCTGAGCCCACCCAAAGGAGCAACTGTTTATGGAGCATCTTCTTTGATCTTCTTGAAGAAGAAACTGCGGGTAGATCAATCAGATCTAGATACAGGGTTAAACACTGGAGTTTGTTGTTGTTACTTTCCAACAAAAATGTTGAAACAMCAACATTATGCCCGGAAAGCACTTGGGCTTYGGCTTCTGGTCTGTAAGGACTGGAGATGGATCCAGCTGAGGCAAACTGCACACAGCTGGTGGGGTATTGGGAATGATACTGRTCTSAGCCATATCAGCTTGGGTGTATGACTGTTGGTGTTGTTGTTGTTATCCAACACAAATGTCAAAAACAACAACAACTTCACTGRAAAACACTTCCAGTCCATAAATAAAACTGGAACTGCATGGAGATAAACTGAGTATGATGTAACATAGTACTCCAGGCATTGTTCTTCAAAGGACATGTCTTGGTTGAATAATGGGGCTAGGGGTGTTGTTGTTGTKGTTGCTGTCCAATGCCAGACACAACTGCAACTTCAACACTGGAAGATATGATGCTTCCAGAAAAACAGGGGATGGATCCAGCTGCAGCTGAGGCAGCTGGGACTAGAAAGGAAYAAGGCTAGGAGCCATATCAATGAGCTTGCTGGTCTTGTCTTTTAATGGAGCCAGGGAGGTAGGTTTTCCCCTTCTGAAGGGGGTGTCACCATGGTCAGATGCTAGAAGGCCTTGGTCAGGTATGGATGTACRTAGGAATCAGTAGGAAATCTAGGTGATAATTTTCATAACCAAAGTGTAAATTTGTGCGTTTGAAAAAATTTGTTTTGAAAAATTATGGCAAGTACACAAAGGAATATCAACTATAAATGCACTTGAGTACTACTAGGATCTAGTACATGGCACATGCAGGTGCACTGAGCCAGTTTGCAATGCAAGAGAATATCAGGGTGATTAACAAGAAGTACTCACATGGTCAGCTGCTGTTCAGGAGTAAACAGAGTATCAATTGGGAAAGATGCACTTGTATCATTTACTGTGCAGGAGTGAATATATTAGTGAGAGTTGCAGAACAGTTTCACTCTAGTAGGTACATTTTGGACTGCATTGAGCAACCAGAATACTAGGTACAAGAAATGTCACAAAAGCTGAAGTGCTGGTGGAGCTGCACAGTAGAATTCCTACCACAAAACAAGTAGAACATACAAATAGTGATAAATAGAGTGGTTTGAAAAGTGTATTGTAGCTTACTACACACACCCAATTTGGAGCCTTTTGAGATACTGGTTGTAAAAATTTGGTACCAATAGCAGTTATTTTTATATAAAATTACAGCCAAAACTAACACACATTTTTGGCCACCCACTAGTAGTACTAGTGTAACTTTGATAGACTACTAGTTTCAAGCTGCTAGAGCTTCCTATGGATTCATGATGACACCAATTTTTGAGTAATTGTGTCAGGACTGAGTTCTTAGTCAAGTGGTCTGGAGTTGTTTTTAATGAGTTCTGCTTGCCTATAAGCAGCCAGTCTCAAAAAGTAGCAAAATCTGGCCTACCAGCTGTCAATAGGGCTGCCAGCTCCCCCCCTCGCCTACTATAATTGTGTACTAGCAATGGCAAAGGGCACTTTTCCTAACACTATGAGCAAGCTTTCCCCAAAGACCAGCTGCTCTCAGACCACACCAGAGCAGTTCTCATTGCCCTAGTATTATACTGTTTCTACCCATCAAGAAGAAAAGAAGTGTCTGTATGTGGACAATTTATGTAGGATCTGGTACTAAATGCTGGGCTTCAACATTTACTGCAATTTTACTAGCAATGATTTTCCACCTTTGAGTAGAATGATATTGGGTCATTCCTGTTATTCTAAATTTGCTAAACGTGCTAAACTAGCACATTTAGCAGATTGAGAAYAACAGGGATCAGATTTTCAACAGATAGACTGCAAGGACTGCTGGCTGGGTTCCAGTCTCTTTGGGAATTTGGAATCTTAAATAGTTGAACATAATGACTAAAAAGAGGTCTGTCTTAGATTCTGCCAGGCTTTCTGTCGAATCTCACAACAGGCTCAGAATTTTGATTCATGTGTTCTCATAAATCTAGCACATTTTGAAATGAGGTCTTTGGCCCGTTTAAAACACAAAATATGCTAAAGCTAGAATCACATGTAATAATCTTTTGGTCTGTCAGTCTATCATATGTACGTWGTATTTAGAATAACAGGAATCACCAATTTAGGTCTGTAGGGTAGGCTTTTTCGGTTAACCCACTATTAAAATGACTGGTACCATAGTGGCACTGGTCTCGATTATTTCAATGAAGACCACTCACGAGGTTCCGGTTGTGGCTGATACATGACTCGCATCGTGCATTACCATCGCTTATTTTTTCCCATTTCTCTACTTCGTGTCAAAAATATTTCCTTTAGTTTGCTACGTGATCGCATCGATAATCGCATAGTCTTACTATGGGACCTTTTCAAACCCATCATTCTATCCCATTTATGAATATCTTGCTGACTTTTCGCGCTTTTTTCCATAGCCAAAGCAAATTTCTCGAATTCGTTTCTGAGAGCCAAAATATTGCAACTGGGATTCAATCGCTCTTCTCTGATGTAATCTTGTTGTGGCGTTTTTGCTATCGCAAACAGTTCACGTTTCGTGAATTTATTGCCACGGTTGTTGGAAGATTGGGGCGGAATTGGCTTATTTGATCTAAAAGAATTTGCATCAAGGACCAATGAATGCGAAAGCAATCGATCAAGGCTATTTTGCCTCCCAACTTTGGTTTGGCAGTTTGCAGCATCTCCTTCAACCCACATGTGATTGGCTTTAGCTGCCATTATTCTCTCCATCCTGTCCATATCTCCGATACAATCTCTCGAAGAAAAATCAGGGGAGATTGGTAGCGTCCGATACTGAAAACTGAACCCTCCGAAAAGCCTTCGGATTTTCCTTCTGTGTGAAAACTCCTGATTTTGAAAATGATCCTGACACTGTTCTATGGTTGGTTGATTCATTGATCGAACCGGTCCAGTAGATTCAAGAGATCCACGATTCATCGATGTTATGACATTTCTTTCAGCAGAATTGTTATCTATCCGATGCGCTATTTTAATATCATGACGCTTATTTGTTGATCTACTCTTTTCTATGTTGAGTCGTTTCAATATCTCTCTTTGTTTGCAGAGTAACGATAGAAAATTGGCGTCGTCATTGTGCTCGGCGATTGAGGACATCGCTTTTGCAATGRAGTAATAATGATTGCAATCTTGTGATACGATAATCCTATTGCATTATTGGTAGTGCGAAGATCATTTCCTATCCCGTGCAGTGTTTGTGTGACAGAAACGACCAAATATAAAGGCTTCATGCGAATTTAGTACTATCCCGCTCTTCTTTAATTTTTTTTTTCAATGATTCTTGTGGGTGAACTGCCGAAGGTGAAGTGACAAAAGTTTAATCTCAACAGAGGTGGCTATCACTCGAAAAGGCAATTGGACGGTCTTGCTACATGAATAGGCCCGAGACATTATGAAAAYAAATAATGACTGCGTAATCGTATTTCTACTCGCAACYGATCGATCGAATCATTGATATCGTAGTACTCGTACCTACTAGAGCYAATAAGTACGGGGACGTTCCGAAACGGCTAATTTCCACGTACGCTTAGCTACCAGCTCTCCGACTTGTTCCAACGCAGCGCCTCTATGAAAAAAGAGGGGGTCCCGGGAAACAATTTTCATTTAGGTCAGATTTCTCTGGCTTTTTCCTGGTAGATTTATGGTAAAAACATTGTYRATTTAAGGTAGAAACATAGTCGATATATAGTCAATATGTGGTAACCCTATCAGCACGTGCCATATCTATTTATAGTATAAATCAWACATGGGGGTTCTGGGAAGGCTACAAAAAATCGACTTTAAATCAGATATCAATCAGATTTAAATCTGATTTGTATTCCTTTTCTAGTCGATTTGTAGTCAAATTCTGGTAGCAAAAGAAATCGAATTTTGAAAAAACAGTTTCCCGGGACCCCTCTTTGCAGCAACAATCTACTGTAGTYGAACTAGTCRGAGAGCTGGTAGCTAAGCRTATGTGGAAATTAGTCGTTTCGGAACGTCCCGGTGCGGAGGGGGGGGAGAGSGGAAATGAAGACGGGAAAATGAAAAAAATTGGTCTGCTTTGGTGGCATTGGAAGTCGAAGGTGTCAATGACCTTCCRAAATGACTCATTACCGGTTACACTAAGCTACTGGACCTACAGCTCAGCTACTGAGACAGGTGCCTCCTAATAACCGTGTACTTTAAGCTACTGGACCTACGTCTCAGCTACTGAGTGACGTGCCTGCAGATATATATGCTGCACTGAGCATAGTGAGCGCAAAAAAAAATGACTTCAAGCTACTTTTATGCTGCTTAAAAGTAGCTTTAAAGTAGTGCAAGTAGCTTTAAAGCTGTTTTAAGTAAAGCTACTTTAAAGCAGCTTAAAAGCTACTTAAAAGTCGYTTTAAAGTAGCTTTTYGGTAGCCATTGGATTACCAATATATATACATTGATGAATAAAGAGAATTGAGGGCATAGATTGTCTTTCCGTTAATTATTTTCAATCGTGGGACTACCTATGATTATATATATATATATATATATATATATGTTTATTTTCAATATTCAATTATTCTTATTAATTAATGTTTATTTATATAAATTATGATTCGTAATCTAACGGCTACCAAAAAGCTACTTTAAAGCAGCTTAAAAGTAGCTTTTAATCTACTTAAAAGTCAATTTTAAGCTACTTAACGCCACCATAAAGCTACTTTAAAGTTGCATTAAAGCCACCTTTAAGCTACCTATTTAGATATAAGTAGGCACGTTGCTGGTCCAGTAGCCTAAAGTATCCGGATATGAGTCATACATGACCCAGTAGCCGAGCCGTACGTCCAGTAGCTTAAAGTATCTGGTTATGAGTCATTTCRTAACGTCCCAACACTGTAGTTTCAATTTAGTYGCATGCCACCAGCATTTAAGCTGGCATCTCATTTCTGTAACTTTATTTTTTACGATGTTTCTTACAGTTCAAAACCCTACCAGCTCTACGACTTAAAAAGATGAGTATAAGATGAGTATACCATCATGTTTCTTCAAAATCCACCCCCCAGACCCCCCTTCCTCCAAGAGAACCAATTACTACAGTMAAAACTATTTTAGTTTTAGCAGTCTTTTTTATGTTTCAACTTCCATGATTGACAGCCAGGGAATTGTTGCCAACAACTTGCCTTTATGGGGGCCGTACTTAGTATCACTAGTACCTAGTACTGTACRATGGCACATATGAAGGAGTACAGGGAGTTATGAAACGACTCATTCTTACCAATTATGTTAAGCTACTGTGCCCATGACTAATCCAACTAAGTCCAGAAGCAGTAGAATAGTTTCCATGTGGGATTTGAAAGTACTTGTAATAAACACTCTCACCAGCTGCCAGATGGCAGGTGTCCAGTATTGTGTCCGCTCTTTTTGTACATRAGATTGAGAGGAAACAAAATTGGTCATTGTCCTCAATTTTAGAGCCYTTTTCCACCAGTTGATTTAACGTAAAAATAAAATGACTTTAACAACAAGAAGCTTTAAAGTAGTAGCTTTACAGTAGCTTTAAAGTTGCCATTGGGAATACCAAAAATTGACATGGCACAGCTATAAACACTTGGATTGTCCCAAATGATTATATTGGTATCAATATATACATACTGCTTGTATCTACAACAAGAATCAATTGATTGGTTTTGATCATRCATTCAAAATAGTACTGGAGATAAACAGGCTGACCTATCAATTGATTGGTTTTTATCACACATTCAAAGTAGTAAAAAGCTGATCTATCAATCAGTTGGTTTTTATCATGSGTTCAAAATAGTAATAGTAATATTCTGAGAGGACCTTGCTAATTGAGACCCCCAGAACAGCACCACTTCCAGGAGTAGTGAGAACAGCAGTATTCCTAGTAGTGWTAATAGAGGATCTTTGGTACTAAAATCTTTTCCTGCCAAGAGGATCCACGCTATCTTGTTGAGGCTACTACTAGAAGTACAGCAACTAAAAATAAACAACATAGTAATCCAGTCCATCTGCAAGAAAGACTGTTGCCCCAGAAAGAAACTTGAGCTTTGTAACCAGTAGTATGACAACAGCATAGAAACAATGCCCTTGCCTCACGATGCTGTCCGTAGGATATCAGATCGTGGGTGTGATTCATATCTATGACACATACATATGACATATACCTTTGATTYAAACACACTTTACATATATGATTCACTCAATCCTATGGATCCATATGATCGACATGACTCAGTTGATTCACTTGCGTGACTGACTTGACTCATTCCATTCACACATCACTCAATCTTCATTCTGATTGGTCTTAGATTTCATAGTTTGTCGATCCTTGATAAGAGCATTGACTCACTTTTCTTCTAGCACACAATTTATATCACTGTTAGATAGTCACTCCCACAGGTTATGACACCCTTCCAATAAAAAATTATCACCACCATGGTGATCCTTTCCTCATCACACAACTCTACCAAACCATCCATTCACACACCTTTGAACAACAAATTGTCATCGCACATGCAACGACAACATTCACACGCATCAATGCTATTGACACCCATTGCGTGACACAAACGAAATCTGTTTTGACACACTCGCCATTGTCAATGCCCAAAAATTGTTGTTGCAAAATTATTGTTTCAAAATTAAAATCTTCTGACAAGACACACATTCTTGTCTTACAGAATACATTTGGCATTAACAATGGGTGATTCCCGTTATTCTAGATCTCTAAATTTTTGGTCTGTCAGTCCATCAGAATTTAGAGTTTTTGACTCTAGATTTAGCACATTTAGGACCGGTCGGTTTGACCGGTCATAAATCTCTAGATTTAGAGTGGAACCCACGAATAAAAATTTCAGTCCGTTGAAAGACTCAACAGAAACTAGGCCCGCCAAAATAAGACTGATCTCAAGAAAAATTAAGACTCGGTTGTTCTAAACAACAAGAATACTAGTAGTAGTAACACCAAAAGAGGCGCCTCTCCAGAGGACCATGGCGCCTCTCTTAACAATGACAAGAAAACAGCGCCTTCACAAATAATGTCCCTCCCGCCGGCTGTCGCTATATTCTATTTCCTCTCTTTGATGCATGAAAGAAGAGAGGAAGAGGCCGGTGACAGCAACAAAGAGACAGCTCATTGTTATCCAATCCCCCGTGTTATTATTGTTAACATGGAAGAACCAAATGCCAACGCCCCCCTTGCAAATGGGAACAATGGTCGTAGAACTGGTACTGTGAACTACTCTGAGGAGGAACTAGAGGGCCTCATGGAGGTGATAGTGGAAGTACTCCCCATCGACTCTGAACAGTGGAATACTGTTGTCACCAAGCATGCTGCAAAGTGGCCCTATGAAAGGAGCAAGAAATCCATTAGGAACAAGTACAGTTCCATCAAAAGAAAGAAAAGCTCAACCGGAAACCCCAACATGCCTAGGTACGTGATGCTTGCAAGGCGAGCCCACTACTTGATTGGAAAGAAGGCAAATATTGGCACTGGAGAGGAGGACTTTGATATGAAGAAAGGCTTTGTCGAGAGTGAGGATGTGGAGGGTTTGGAGAAGATCCCATCCGCCGAAGTGCAGGAAGGAAGAGCCCCCATTGCTCTTGCTGCTGCTGGTGATGGATCAAGCGTCGAAACGTCCGTTGTGAGGCCATCCAGAGTACAGTCGTCTACTAGTGCTAATACTCCCAGTACTAAGAGACCATATTCAAGAGTTCCGGATGCAACCGTGTTCAATGAGTATTTGAAGAGCCAGCAAGACAGGGACAAGGAAAATCGTGAGTTAGCAATAGAGCAGTCTAAGATTGCAAAGGAAAGCGCTGTGATCGCAAAGGAGGCAAGCCAAATTGCAAAAGAGAAGAACCAGATGTGGAAGGAAGCTCTTGGTATGGCAATGGCTTGCTTTCAGCAATGGCAAAACACCCAGAACGCCAACAACGACAACGATGCTTCTTACCAGCAACTCGTCGACACCAGCGCCAAACGCCCTCGAAACATGGACGCTGAAAAGGACTAACGCCATTGTCCCCACAAGCAATAACGATATTCGCAAACACTAAAAGCAATACTAACTAATCAACACTAATTCAAAGGATCCAAATGAAAATAATGAACTGATCAGTATCAGTACGAGTATATCAACCGTATTCACTGTAACATTCACTATATTGCGCTGCAGCGGTAGATGATAGTACTGATTGTACTTATTCCTTCCTTGTATAGGTTTTTGTGCATACCAATGCGGGACTAGAAAGCGTTCCTTGCTAATTCTGCGCGTGCTTATTCCCATGAAAACGGTTCACATGCAGCCCGGATCGGCATGCATGCAGTCTGGATCGGCTTGCACATGATCTGTATCATAAAGTTGTCTTCGTTTTGGTATAACAAGAAACAGATATTCATTACAGTATAAATCGTTATGTATCGCTGCATTGGAGTGTCTTAGGGAACACGGCAGCAGGCTCGAGGGGAGTATACACAAAAACTGCAAGTTCCTGCTCGTAAAGCTTGCTTGCTCTTCCCCCCATACTTCATTCATTGAATACTGCTGAATACTGCTAATTCAACACTGGTTAACGAATCGAACCAATGTATTTCGACCATGGCGATGAGGGTAGACGTGGCGTTTGAACAGTAAGTGCGTTGTTGCGTGTGTGGCTGCTTGTATTTGCGTTGTTGGCTACTGATTACAGTTGAGTTGTTGTTGCTAATTCGATTAATCTTTCTTCTTTTGCTATTTCGACTACTAATCTTTCTTTCTTTCGATAACCGACTGAACGAATCGACCATGGGATTCATCGATTCATCCGCCAAACACATTGTTTCCATGGGGGGAAATTTCACGTCCAACTTTGAAGAAACCCTTTGCAAGATCATTCTTCTTGTAGGGTTGTCCCACGTCAGCCTCTGTGGCTGCTGGCGTCCTCATGAAGGTCGACAGGATCTGGTTGTGTCCAACATTGCTGCATTGGTAGTTGTACAAGTTAATCAACAAGTTCATGATGATCTTCCGGTCTCCATGCTCCTCCAAGAACATCCGGTCTTTGATTCTTGGAAACTGTCCTTGRATCATTCTCATCCCCCACTCWGACATCTGTCTCAGGGAAGTYGCGTCCCTGTTGATGAGGAGGAGCTCCTCTTGTTCAGGGTCATGCTGTGAGCTTTTGATGAGGATATGCTCCCTTTCTTTCAAGGCAAAAGCRGAATCCACCACAACCTTTCCATTGGAGTGGTTGTAGACCTGCTCAATCCTGTCATAGACGCCATGGTCGGCAATGGCACTGTCATGCCAAGCTCCTGGACAATTGAAGACTGAGATCCGTACCCTACCATCTGGTCCAAAGACAAACACACTGTTGACAAAGGTGTTCTCCTTCCAAGCGTTGTAAAAGGCTCTCTGTTTGAACCAGTCTTCAGAGGCTTCAATAGCACTCTTGAGACCATCTGCAGCACCCCAAACGTGTTGCTCTCCAAGCCGCGGATACTTTGCTCCAATTGCATTAACATAAGCATTGACTTCTTCCTCTGTTGGGACACTCACTATGGCCTCTGGATGCTTGTGGAGAGCAACAAGCAGTACTCTCCTTGCAAACTTGAGCCACTTATACATCACTGTGGATGTTAAGCCAAAGGCCATTGCCATTGACCTTGCTACGGATCCACGTGTCCTGTACCAAAACAGCACTAATCCAATGGCACAGACTGCATCAACCTCCCTTTTCTTCCCCTTGGGCTTTCCACTGGGGTAATGAGGAACCTCCACGATCTCATTGTTGTTGTTGACAGTGTACTTGTTCCATACTGGAGCAAAAACATCCACGAGCTCCCTGAAGACCCTGTGGTCTACACCACAGCAGTTGAGCAGGGCTTGATCATCCCCTGAGTGGAACAAATGGAGGAAGGAGGATTCAGCATATCTTCTAATTGCAATCCTTGGGGTTCTCCTATCCCTACGACGTCTCTCCTCAGGAGAGAGCTTCTTCTTGTAACTTTGGTTATTCAGATGAATGTACCAGTACATTGTAATGACCTCGACTACTCCCATCATGGCGTTGTTTCTTTCTAGGAGGAAACTGCTGTCTTTTAGTGTGTTTGTTGGATGCTTGATAGCCTATCATAAATCAGTCCACTCATTTTCTACGGAAAAAAAAGTAAAAAATGAGTGAATTGATTTATGTTAGTTGTTGAGTATCGAAAATTTCATGTTTTACTTTGAACCATGGTGGCGCGCGTTTCAGTCTTTTTAGTCTTTCCGTTGAAAATACTTAAGATTCCAAATTCCCTGAAAGACTGGCATTGAGCCGGCAATTCTCAGTCTGTCCGTTGAATGTCTTGATTCCCGTTATTCTAGATCCCTAGATTTAGAGTTTTAGAGATTTAGAATAACGGGAATGACCCAATCACACTCTAAATTTTTAACTCCCACTTGCAAGTTAAAAATAAATCCCGCACATGTGCAACTGTGCATGTCACTCCATTTTTTATTCTCACACCCAAGACCGTCTCACTTTATGAAACCAACACACGTTGCTGTAAAACTTCAATCCAACAACAACATTTCAAAAGCTTCTC